CGCGATTTGCAAAGACCACGAAAACCTGCTTTACACTACGTGATATGACATAAAAAGCGTTCAATTCAGTTACGAATATCTGATTAAGTACATTGAAAAGCTTAACATGCCATCGTGGATCAGCAGGTTTCTGAGAACCATCACCTCCAGATGGTCCGTTACATTGAAAAGCAATGGAGAAACTATAATGGAGAAGAAAATAGAACGAAGATCTCTCCAAGGTGATAGCCGTTCTTTAAAGCTATTCACCCTGTGCATGGACCAGTTGAGCTGTCACTCAATATAAGGTACCCACTGATCAAGAAATGCACATTACGAATCATCTGTTGTTTGTGGATGATCTCAAGATCTTTGCGACCGATCAGTGAAATCTATGGCAGAATAAGTAGGAATGTTTCCTGATGTGGTAGGGATAGAGGTAAATTCAGCAAAGTCAGCCACTAATACCGAGGTATGCGCTGATAAACCGGCGCTATTGGAAGGAAGTCAAGGGTATAAATACCTAGGAATAGTGGAAGACAGCACTAATGCACCTACCCGTGAAAGCTACGATAAAGTCCGTGCAGAGATTTTAGTGAGAATTGAGCGGTTATAGCCAAAACTGCAGTAAATGGCAAGAACTTTATCAACGCTATGAATGAGCACGCCATAAGCCTAGTAAATTATTGCTTCGTAGTGCTCAAGCTGGAGGCGGAAGACTTCAAGACTATAGACCACGATATCAGACAGCTACTAATCAAATACCGAATTCACAAGCAACCTGCAAGCTTGGAAAGACTGCATCTGCCAAGGGACGAGCTAGGACGTGGACTTCACAGTGTTGAGCAGAAGAGTGAGCTTATGCTTCTCCAGCTACATAGTGTTCTTGTAGATACCGCACCAATTTGTATCAGAAAGGCAGCGATTCCGAAACAGGAGAAAGCTCATTAACACGTTCTTGGCAATTATTAAAAGATTATTTAAAGATTGAGTACAACCTCGCAGAAAATCCGATGCATGCACTTGGGCTGCAAGAAATATGGTCTGAAAGTATTCCCGATTAACAGCAGTCGAGACCGAGAAAAAGAGAAAATATGACCTGCTTGCTAATGAGCTTGCGTCAGAAATGAATTGCAGGACCAAAATAATTCCGTATGTGATGACTTGGGATGGGATTGTGATGAACTTCCACAAACGCTATGAGAAGGAGATCAGTATATCTGATCACGTCGAGGCATACATGCAATCGATAGTTCTCAAGAAGACGCTCGAAAGCATCTCCTTCAACAGTCGGTCGACATGGATTCCACGAGGACAAAGTAAGAACGATGAGCGCAACTAATCTGAGCGCGGGACAAGTACTGCCAGAGTGCCGGAATGCGATCCAGCGCCAGAACCAATAAAGCGAAAATTAAAATCTCTACATTTTATTCATTTATTATATATATTTTAATAATATATATATTTAATCATAAACAATATATTATTACTTATGATTAATTTTTCAGCGAAACACTCTAATTTCACGTAGTAAAGTCGGACTAACTCTGATCGACCGTTGTTGCTTTAACACAGTAATTTATATTCGGGTCACATCTCGTGTAAAGCAAGCTAAGACCAACACGTCCCGTAAAGCAGTCCAATTCTTCAGTTACTGTCACTGTTAAAAGTAAAATTGCAAATATCTGATCAGAAAACATAATATTTTTTGGGCGTATTTTCCTGAAAAAACAAACTTGAAAGGAAATTTAAACTTTGCCCTATAATAAGTAACAAAAACAACGTGTTATTCTTTGGGATATTATTGATTTCAAATCGGTAATTTTGAGAAATTCTTCATAATTTGCATAATAATAATTGCTTTATCACAGAAATTAGGGGATTTTGATTATCAAAAATGTCAAAATACTATACTTCATTAGTTAGATATCATAGATTATTATTAAACAATTAAAAACTTCAGTTAGATATAATTACTGAAACTAATTACATATGTTTACTTAAGTTTTAAATTCATTATTATTCACTTTAATTAAATATTAATTTTTACTTTAAGTATAAATTTCTTTAATTTATCCATTTAACTGACGTGCCATGCATTCATATTTTGCTTATTTTATACCAGTAGCATAAGACCAAGTTCGGTAGCATTCTCACCTCGTTGGTACTACCCTTATACCTAGTAAATGTTGAGATTAGCTGCGATGTGCTATGTAAAATAGTATATTTTTGTCATCAAAAACAAAATTGACTTTATACCACTCGTAATTATTACGTTTGCAATTGTTGATTTTACTTGGCATAAAGTGTAACGCGAAATGACTGAGCACGGAGAACCTATTCAGATTTCTGCTGTTTGCACAGAAGTTCAGAATAGAGAAGGTAAATACTTAAGGTGTGCTGAATATATGCGAACAAAATTCTGGATAATATTATTTATTTACGTATATACATTTCATATACAAAATGAAAGTTTCACACATACAATAACAATCGTACCCGTTAACAATGAAGTGAAGATTCAAAACTAATTTCTACATTACATACATAAATACTTTTAGCACAAAAAGCCAAAAATTAAAAAATTAAGTAAATACAGAGATATGCACTGAAATAAATTAATTATAACAATACTATAAAGTAATTTAAAGATATTAAAATAGAACAAATGGCGTGACCAAAAAACCAAAAAACTACAACTTTTACAGCAAATTAAAATTGATTAAAGTTATATTAAATAATAAACACTTAAAATGATCAAATAACAAATATTTAAAACAATAATATGCAAATTTAAACAAAAACAAAATAAATCAGGTGTTCAAATAATTCCAAAACTGTCCTTTTCATGAAAAGAAGCAAAGCTTCTTCATAA